TTGATGCAAGGGAGAGGGGCACAGGCAGAACACAATCCACATCAACCCTCAGCACCTTCTAGAAATTTAGCCAGAGCTCCCCTTGCCCTTTTTTTACCTCCTTCTAACATCTCTCAATCCCCCCTGTGATGGCCGATGTCCCGTCTACTCTACTCTTGATACAAACACGTATGCCCATCCACGGTTAGTAGGAGGGAACTCCTCTATGATGAGCGGGCTCTACCAATCTTTTAGAAACTTTGTCCCTCCATCTAGGATCTATAACACTTTTAAAATCTGGTCCAAAATTTCTAACCTAGGGTTCATGGCCCAGCTTCCGGGGTTCCGTCAAGCCCCTGATATTGTGTGAAACTCTAGGGAGAAAGTCCTGAGCTCTTTTCTGATTTTCAGAAGAGACATACATGACAAAGTTAAAAGCTCTGCACTACAGGAGCTCCCTCATTTTACAGGAGGGAGAACCGAAGCCCAGGGCAGGCCAGAGACTTGCTCAAAACCACCCCTACATTGTTCGAGTTAGAGCCTAACTCTATGCCTCCCGGACTCCGGTCTAGTGCCCCTTCCCAGTGCAGCCCAGGATTTGAGTGCTCTCTCCCACTACTCACACATACCTCTCCTGGGCTCCAGGACGCTGGCCCAGCATGGGCAGCTGCTCATGGTTGGAGATCAGGTCGCGCTGGTCTTCCATGGTTGTGCCTCTGGTCTAACCCAAGCCTCTTGCTGCCTCTGCTGCTGCTGCTGCTGCTGCCGCCGCTGCTGCCTGCGTGTCTGAGACCCTGAACCCCTGGCTCACTTCTTGAAGTTGGGGCTGAGGAGAAATCTGATTTGTCCACAGGAGGCCACCTGGTAGAAGTGGAAGTGAAAGCCACAAAGCTGGAAATACCCTGACTTGGGCAAAGCTGCCTTTGATGGAGCAGGGTAGGGAGGGGGAGCTTCCAAGGCAGGTAGAAAGGCCAGCATGCTTTTTTATTGGCTGTCCAGTGCTCTCATCACTTGTTTCTGGGCAGACCTTTGGATTCATAAGGCTCTCTGAAAGTTTCGAGAAACTTCACTCCCTAGACAAGAAATCATTTTGAAGCAGAAAATACCTTTGTTTGTCTCCCCTTCTCACCCATAGCTATGTGGATGCAGAAAGAAGCTGCTCACCCTCTGTAAGCTTAGACAAGTCCCTCTCCATCTCTTTGGCCTCAAAAATGTCATCTCAAAATAGGGGAGGAAAGTTGGATTTAGTGTTCCCTCTGCTGTCTTCTAACTCAAGCATTTTATGAACCTGAGTCCATGGTTCTAAGTCTCTGGTACTAATACTTGCCAGCCTGTACTAAGCCCACCTTTGTGCCAGGCCCTGTGCTAATTGGTTTACATGCTTTGTTCCCATTTAACCTTTATAGTGACCCTTTGAGGACTGTTTTATTATCTCCATTTACAGATAGAGACATGGAGGCTTTGAAAGGCTATGTGCTTGCCCAGGATCATGCCTCTAGGAATTGGTGAAGCCCATGTTTTTAACCACTCTTCCCTTCTCCTCCTAAGCTTCAAACTGTGTGGTTCAAATTCAGGAAAGGGTACCCAAGGGAGATTTAACTGTGTTGGCAAGGTTTTATTTCTTATCTGTGGCTTGTATACGTTTGTTTTATTAAACATATCTTTTGTGTGTTTTTAACTTAGCATTAATACATTATTTAAAATTTAAAAACTTTGTGGGTCTAAGATTCAGTGAAGGGAGATAGTATGTATGTATTGGCAATGGGGGGGGGCGGGGGTTTGTGGCGGGGGGGGGAGACATGGCCTTTGATGCAACCAGACCTGAGCTCTAATCCCAAATCAGAAATATCCTAGCTGTGTGACTTGAGCTAGTCCCTCAACCTTTGTGTATTGTGTTTCTCCTTTGTAAAGTAAAAACAATAATGTTAAACTTCCAGAGTTGTCAGATTAAATAAGCATTTAGCACAGAGCCTGGTACAATAAGAAATGCTGAGCAGACATGGCCTTTGATGCAACCAGACCTGAGCTCTAATCCCAAATCAGAAATATCCTAGCTGTGTGACTTGAGCTAGTCCCTCAACCTTTGTGTATTGTGTTTCTCCTTTGTAAAGTAAAAACAATAATGTTAAACTTCCAGAGTTGTCAGATTAAATAAGCATTTAGCACAGAGCCTGGTACAATAAGAAATGCTGAAGAAATGAAAGTGTTATTGTTCAAATATTTACTAAGATATGTTCTGCCCTGATTTCAAACTATACTATGAATCTATAATTATCAAAACAGAATGGGCCCTGGCCAATACTGGCCTGTGCCCTGAGGGTCATGGGTTTGATTCCCAGTCAGGTACACATCTGGGTTGCAGATTTGATCCCTGGCCCAGGTCCGGGCACATGTGGGAGACAACCAATCAATATGTCTCTCTCATATCACTGTTTCTTCTCTCTCTCCCTTTCTCCCTTCCTCCCTCTCCCCCTCCCTTCCACTCTCTCTAAAAATCAATGGAAAAAATATCCTCACTCCTAGGGTGAGAATGAAAATTAAAAAATGGGATGGTACTGATGCAAAAACAGACACATAAATCAATGGAACAGAATAGAGAGCCCAGAAATAGACCCTTGCTTATATGGTCAATTAATCTGCAACAAAGGAAACAAGAATATACAATGGAGAGATGACGGTCTCTCTTCAACAAGTGATTTTAGGGAAATTGGACCACTCTCTTACATCATATACAAAATAAACTCAAAATGGATTAAAGACTTAAATATAAGATCTGAAACCATAAAATTCTTAGAAGAAAACATAGGTAGCAAACGATTTGACATTAGTTTTTAAATATCTTTTTGGATATGTCCCCTCAAGCAAGGGAAACAAGCAAAAATAAGCAAAAAATCAAACTAAAAACCTTCTGCACAATGAAGGAAACCATCAACAAAATGAAAAGACAACCTACTGAATGTTATAATGAATTCACAAGTAATATAACTGATAAGGGTTGATATCCAAAATATATAAGGAATTCATACAACTCAAAAAAACAACAACAAAAAAAACAACTGGATCAAAATATGGGCAGAGGTCATGAAGATACATTTCTCCAAAGAAGACATACAGATAGCCAACAGGCATATGAAACAATGCTCGAAGTCACTAATAATTAAGGAAATGCAAAACAAAATGAAAATGAGGCACCACTTCACACCCACTGTGATGGCTCTAACAAAAAAGAGATAAAACAGGTGTTGACAAGGGTGTGGAGAAACTGGAACCCTCATATATTGCTAATGGGAGTGTAGAATGGTACAGCTACTTTGGAAAACAATTTGCCAATTCCTCATAAAGTTAAACACAGAGATACCATATGACCTCGTAATTCTGCTCCTAGATATTTACACAAAAGAAATGAAAACATATATCCACACAAAAACTTGTACACAAATAGAGCACCAAAAATCATAGTAGCCCAAAAGTGAAATAACTCAAATATCCATCAACAGATGAGTGGGTAAACAGAATGTGGTATACCTGTACAATGGAATATTATTTAGCCATAAACAGGAATTAATATCTCAATAAAACATTTTTTGATTGATTTTAGAGAGAGAAACATCAATTTGTTGCTCCACCCATTCATGCATTCATTGGTTGATACCTGCATGTGCCCTGACCAGGGATCAAACCCATAACCCTGGCTCAGAGGGATGACGCTCTAACCAACTGAGTCACCCAGCCAGGGCAACTGTTTCTCTGTTGTTTTTTAAGGAATGAAAAATTGATTCGTGCCACAAAATGAATTTTGAAAACATTCTGTTAAGTGAAATAAGCCAGACACAAAAGGCTACATACTGTGATTCCACTTTTTTGTGAAATGTCTAGAATAGGCAAATACATAGGGACAGAAAATGGATTAGTGGTTACCAGGGGCCGGGGGTAGCTAGGGATGAAGAATGATTGCTAATGGGTAGAGGGTTTCCTTTGAGGGTGATGAAAATATTCTGGAATTAGTGGTGATGGTTGCACAACTTTGTGAATATACAGAAAACCACTGACATATAATTTTAAGTTTTAATATGTGAATTACAGCTCAATTAAAAAAATTCTTGTAATGACGGCTAGAACACACATAAGCCTTTGCTTCCTCTCTCACTTTGCCTCTATCACTAAATGACAGACTTCTGGGATTTTTGTTTTTATATGTAAATCTATGAGGACAAAGAGAACAGGAGATAAGAAAACAGCAGCAGAATTTTGGAAGCTGGAAAGCAGGTGGTATAGAGGTAACATCCTTAGCAGACCCCAGAAAGCTGAATCCTAAACCTGCAGCTAGAAATGCTGACAAGCCACCTATTTCTGTGGCAGAAGAGACTCAGGAATTGGGGTACTAGGCACCTGGATGGGAGTAAAGATGGGGCTAAAAAGAGGAGAATTGGTTAGAAGTCTGTTTATGAAACAGCTGGATACCTGTGTCCTTCCCCCAAGCACCCCTCCCTTGCCCTGAGAAGAGACTGGAAGTTTATCCCCAGGCACAGCACAGGGCATGAGCCTGGTACTGAAGCTGAGAGTCCCAGCCTGCTCCCAAACCCAGCTCCCAGAATGTCAGAAACCAGGCCTTCTCCCCTAGACAGTAAATGGGAGAATCCTTCTCAGGGGAGCATGATCATCTCAAGAGGAATGACCTAAAGATCTGACATTCTCCAACTATAATCCTACAGGGAAGCTCTCAGTGGATACGTGCTACTCATGGGTAATAGCTTCCTCTTGGCTTTTAGACAATCAAGGATCATGATTATGTTAGAAGAAACCCTCTAGTCCTGGCCTGGTGGCTCAGTTGGTTGGAGTGTTGTCCCGTACACCAAAAAGATTGCAGGTTTGATTCCCAGTCAGGGCACATACCTAGGTTCTGGGTTTGATCCCCAGTAGGGGCACGTACGGGGAGGCAATCAATCGATGTTCCTCACATCATTGTTTCTCTTTCTCTCTTCCAGAAGGTAGACTATAAAGATAAAAAGAAAGAAATCAGAGAGAAAAGATAAGAGTACTAAAGGCCAGTCCAGGAGGCCCAACAGCCAAATATCAGAGTTTCAGAAATAGAGAACAGAGAAAATCAAGGGGTGGGGGGAGGAAATCATCAGTGAAGTAATTCAGCACGATTTCCAGGACTTAGACATAAATTTCCAAACTGAATGGGCATGGTGGTGCTAAGGACAAGGTATGAAAATAACTTTTCACTAAGGCACATCAGAAACTCACTAAGTTTCAGAAAAAAATAAAGACAAAGAGAAGATTCCACAAACTTTTAGAAAGGAAAAAACAAGACAAATACCAGGAATCTTTTTTTTTTTTTTTTAAGTACCAGGAATCAGATGACTTTGGACTTTTTAACAGCAACACTGGAAACCAGAAAATAATGAAGTAATGCCTTCAACATTCTATGGGAAAATGACTTCTACCCTAGAATCTTTCCTAAACCAACATATCAAATAGGTGAGGGTGTTGTTAAGATATTTTCTGACATTCGGTATCAAAAATTTACTTTCTCAGCTTCAGAAAGATATATGCTCAACCAAAATGAAGGAGGGACATGGGAAACAAATTCAACTCACAAGAGGGAATGGGGACCCCCAGGATGACAGAACAGGAAAATGCCAGGAGTAAAGCAACAGATCCACATTGGATCAGGCCTGAAGGCTCTAAAAGACATTTCCTCAACACGTTAAACTGACAGAGAGCTGATATGCCCTAATGTACTGAGAGGTAAGATAGATAATTTTTGGAGAGTATGAGGTTGAATTATGATAACTTAATAGAAAATTAAGCAAATGAAAAACCAAAACAACTCTTAGGAAAACAAAGTTAGAGGAGATGAACTGTTATCTCAGTATACTATGTAGCTCAGCTCTGAAGAGCATTTACATTGTCACAATATGG